CACATGCCTGGCAAAACTCTCCATCAGAACCTCATAACATGCCTTACTTCTTATGTTCATGCCTTTTGATAAAAGCCACTGTTCTACTCACTGTGCTTGAGCACAGCAAAGAAGTGAAGGGGGAAAAAAACAGGACAGCGGTCCTACTTAGACCTGCAAAGAAATCTTCTTTTAATACGGCTTGTTCTTTCCTTTCTGCCTTCAACCTGTCCTAAAAGGAGAGTTGTGCCATGCCAAATTTCACTAAAGCACTTCGAGCCATAGTCATATAGAAAAATACCAGCAGCAAGAATACAGGACCTAGGTCATCTGTGTCAAAAAGATCATACCATATAGCTGAGACATGGTTAAGAAAGAGGGTAACCAGCAGCAAGAAATTAGATTAAAAGTGTAAAATAGGGACAGCCAACTGGATTCATCTGCTCAGTCTAGCCTGCAGAAATCACTGACAGGAAAGTAAGTTTCTCCCACTACTGCCGCTTTGAACCTTTGCACTAGCTTCTCTCTACCATCAAAGTATCACTGTCCACTTACTCCCCTTCTTACAGTTTTCATTACCTTAGGTGTAGGCACGTACACCTCAAAGAATGGAAAGGAAATCCAACTCAACAGTATCAACCTGCTTCCCTTTGTTTCCCTTCCTTTCTAGAAGCAGTTATTTAAAAAAAAGCCTAGTAAGACAGTTTTAGGAAGCTACATTAATACTAACAAAATTAATTTCAGCTGAAGCTTCGAACTGCATTCTCTGTATCGTATTACATTTTAAACTTCTAGACTATAAAAAAAATTAATTTTAAGTGCCCTGCACATTTTCAGCACTTTGGAGACACTTCAATTGCTTTCCAGCAATTTGCTGGAAAATGAAAGAAAAGCAGTAGGGGCCAAGGGAAGAGGAAGAAAATAGAAGTAGTAACACATCCTTTTGGCTTTCAAGATACAAGACTAAACTCTTCAGAGGAGAGAAAAAAATATATCAGTTTTCAATCCAGGCAAAACTGAGCTTTCTGATGAAGTCTGACATACTAAAAACCACTATTCATCTCAAATCCCAGCATTTTCTCCTTTCTCTATACTCATCTAAATCTGTCATACTTTCAAAAAGACAACTACATACAAATCAGAGGTGCTTTGTTTTGTGCATTACGAAGGATTGGGGGGGTGAGGTGGGAGAAGTTATGGAAAAGGTAATAATTACTTCAGTCCAAAGAAATATGTTCCTAGTTTGTCACTGCTGCCCATCAGTTTGATTAAAAAAGATGAAACGATCCAGTATTTACTCTGTCTTACAGTACCAGGTTTTCACAAAGCTTACAAATTCCAAACAAAAACTAAAGTGAAATAAAAATCTGCATTTATAAATATTTCACAAACAAAATATGAATAAAATATTCAGAAGTATAAAACGAGAGGTATTTAATAGCACTTAAACCACGACTTTGCAAATACTATCAAGCAAAGCTTTAGCATTCTTCTGTTATCAAACATAACTGGAGGTAAGATACCAGTGTCAGGTTTCAGCTAGAAATACTTACATTGTGATAATTGATCATTTCCTGTAAGGTGTCAGAAAACTTTGTCAAGCTGGTCTGTAAAAACAAAACCAAAGTGGTTTAAGTTAAGCTCTACCAAATACACAGCACGAAAGCAAGGTTTCAGAGGTTTACAGCTTTTCAGTAAAGAACTTGAGAATTGATTTTCCTTGGCACAATTATTAAATTAAAACCGTTATGCTGGAAGCAGAACAGGGGGGTAATACCAAGTAAATCTATTAAAGCTACAAGCAACAAAAACGTTACCGCTACATACCTATATATAAAGGACCAAACTGAAGGAAAGCAGGAAAAATTCAAATTAAGTTGACTAAACTATGGGAAGCTCACATAATTTAACACATTAATTTACAATATTTAATATTACACTACTTAATATTTAGTAATGTTTAATACTCTAACTCCAAAAACCTGGTTAACATGTTGTAATCATCCATACACACGTTTACTGTAGGAACTACTGCCTCAGCTGATGCGCTTAGCAACACTGAAATTAATCTGCAGAATCAATGTCACAAACAGTTTGAAAACAATGATCCCTGGTATATTTGGGTAACTGCATATTGCTTACACAACAAGCATAACAAAAACCTACTAGGAATCAAGTCATGTAAGTTTTACTAGTTTGTCATAGCACTACAGTTCAAGCAAGTAAATTTCCAAACAACAACGGTTTCAGTTGCACACAGACTATACTGAAGTTCACAGGCATTATGTATTTCAACCAGCATGTGCAGATGCGTACACCCAATTGATGTTCTACTACATAACGTGCATTAAATATAGATGATATACACAGAGATGTACACATAATTATACCTGCATATTACACAATTCATACCTCATTTCAAAGTAACAGACAGGAAATATCAGGTGTTCCAAATTAGCCTAACAAGACATCAGTCTGCAGTAACACCAAAGTGGGCTCTGCACATTCAAAAATTTAAACTTCTATGTATTAGAGTGCCAGTTCCAGGACCTAAGAGATCAACTCAGGGCATTTAGTTGCAGAGAACTGGCTCATAGGATCTTATGACTAGAACCCCTTTATTTAGCAAACTAAACAGAGCAGCTGTTCACGGCTTCAACCTTTCTCCACTCCTCCCAAGATGACTATTCCTAACCTAAAACCTATTTTCCAGAATTTGGAAAGCCCTTGCCATTGCAGGTTAAAGCTGAAAGTAAACAGCACAGACACTTGCAGCGCACCACAGTCAAAAAAGCTCACTCTTAAGGCATCTCAAAGAAAAAGGAACAAAAAGGCAAATAATAAACTTCAACTACTTATCTTGCCAACTGTTATATTTTACCCTTTTAAGTTATGCTTCTCCTTCCATTTTCACCTCCTAAAGAACTTACCTCAACCAATGCATCTTTACAGGAATATTGTGCAAGGTCTCGAATTCCATTCATGAACTGCTTGTTGGCTGTACAGAATGCTTTCCCAGTATCAATCATTGCAATACAAAGCTTCACCAGCTAAAAAGAGGGAAAAATAACAAAGCGGAAGTTCTTAAGCTTTCTATTGTCTAGTGACTTTTATAAAAATACTACTCTAGGTCAACTTATATACCATTGAGAAGGTTACTACTCTTTATAGTTTTTTTATTATTATTTATTTGTTTTATTGTTAACTGGGATTTTGCACATATTTCAAGAGAGGGCTGTACGGGGGCAAAAAGCACAGCAACTAAAACATCACTGGTTAGAACCCAAGCAAATATTAAGTGCTTTGTGGTTTCTGAGCCAAAAACCCCCAAAAGAAACCCACAGCAGTTTTCTTCATCTTGAGACACTCAGAATACAGGCACAAGAAATCAAAAGGCTGTCTGCACAAAGCAGAACTGAAGAGAGATGGTTCCATCTCAGAAGACAAAATTAATCATGTTTTCACTCATACAACAGATGAGTTTTTCTGTGATGGGTTTCCACCCATACCACTTGCTGCTTCGGTCAGCACCTCGGCTATCATGGTACTGCCGAGTCTGATATGAAAGCCATCGGTATCTTGTGATGGGTATTTTCTCACTTTTTGAACCACTTACGCACTGGGCCAGTAATGAAAGAAAGAATGATTAGTGCAATCACTAAGACGCTTTCTTGAAAGAAGGCATATTATAATTGAGTTCACCCACTCTAAACCAAACTGAGAATAAAATCAGAAGATTGACCCTTCATCTCTGAAGCATTTTTCAAGGTTGTTAGACAAATTTTCACGAAGAACAACAGAGAAGTACTTGATCCTACGTTGGGGCAAGGAAACCACCCAAGTGATCTTCCTGCCTTATTTACCCAGTAATTTTTATGTTGACTCAGATCCTTTTAGGAAAAGGAGAAATCTGAGCATTATCTCCCATGTTCTGATGAACGGCCAAGCTGCTTTAACAATAGACAGAAAAAAAAAAAAAAAAAAAAATCACTACCAACACAATCCTTTTTTCCCCCCCTTCACTTTTGCTTGTGGTTCACAATCCTGAACCCAGGATCATTTCTTCCAGGGAAGAAAAAAATGCAGATAATGTAGTCCAAAGTCACAATTGTGGGACAATAAAGATAAGTTTAATATGAATAACTGAGCAGAAAAAGCTACCAAGTCTAGAAAAATCATTACCCTCAGGCCACATTACCCTTCAGCTCACAAAAGAAGCTTGGCTTTCAACTTAAGCGTTATACTAGATCACTTATACTTCACATTACAACTAAACTACTTAAATACTTACCTTGTGTACTTGCTTTCTTGTTAGGGGAGCAAGTGGGTTTGGGTGTTTTTGTTTTAAAGAGTTCTAGGATACAGTCTCAGGGCAAAGAGTAATACCAACATGATAGAATGGTATAATTGGCACCGGCCTCCTGCAAGAAGCTGGGGGCAAGGCCCTGAATAATGCCCCTTAAGGAATATGAGAATTCCTTTCCCCAAAAATGACTGGTTTAGACTGGTGGAAAACACAAACTTCCAAGATAGATTTTCAGATCCACCAAAACAGCTTCATCACCCCTACAGTAAAAATGTGCCTTATACCCAGCAGTTTTACCAAGATTCACATCAAATTGAAATTAACTATCTTAAGTTTATTTTGAAAGAGCAAATGGTTACATTATTAACCGCAAAAGTTAGAAATATTATTACAAAAAGTAAGGAACAGTCTTCAGACTTAGCTCTACACTTGACACTGACTTTGTCTCCATCTTTCTGCAGCCAACTCACAGCTGCAGGAACAAAAGTTCATATTCAAAAAGTAGCTGAGGGGGTGAACAATCATATCTGCCTACCACGTTAAAACACAGGCAAAAAGTAATTTTAAACATTTAGCATAAAACACTAAGGAAAGGAGACTTTCTACAGATATAAAAAAAAAGCCACCCTCAAAATACTAGCAAAGAAAGAACAATACTACTGGTTAGGAAACCAATAAATGGATTGTAAGGCACTGAAAAGATGGTACACATAACCTTTTATATACCTGCACAAAGCATGACAAAAAGCAGGATGAATTTTACAGTAGTTAAATCCTCCGGACAGAAGTGAGGAGATATATATATATCTCTCTATCTATATCTCTACAGACCCATCCTGCTCTGACTGTGCCAAAGACTAAAGCACTGACTTTAAATCTCTAAAACAAAGAATATACAGGTGTCCTCACAGTACGCAGTTGTCATAAAACATAAGCTCTGAATGCCAGGATAGCTAACCCCCAGCTTTTAACTCACATGAAAGCTGAATTAGTTTGCATGCGGCTCCCACTGCGGGGCTGTCACACGAGAGCAGGGGGGCCAGAGGGGCAGGAGGGTATTGCACAATCCAAACCCTCCTCCAAGGGAGAAAACAGCACACATGGGCTGACCCTGCTATTACTCAAGCTTGGGTCTCTGGGGTCCAGCTGTGCACTCACCCAGACCCCGTCCCTCCGCCAGAGAGGAACGCTTGGTTGGCAGCCACTGCTGCTTCCCAGCTATGAACTTTAAAACAAAACCTAAACACATCTTTTTATATTTTCCAGAGCAGATCTCATTGAATTAAAAAGCTTACCTTGTCAAGTTTCAGTTCCAGTTCGGTCACATCTCCTTCTACTTCTTCTAAAGCTGCCCTGCATGGTAAAAAATGTTTTCCTGTAAAACTTTACACAACAATACTCTGGGACTGGGGGGAAGCGGCCAGGACACGTTAATTTAATCCATTTATTGCCATCAGTTTCAGTTAAATTTCTACTATAAAACAGTTTTTAGAGAACCACAGGAATTGCAGAAATTGTGAGGGTAAAAAGAAGAAAAACCACATCACTGATAAAACATATAGCTTAGTAATAAAGATTTGAGATTAAATTTTATTAACCCTAATGTTTGTCCAATTGAAGTAGGTTTCCTCTATTCTTGTATAGCTGATAAGTCTATATGTTTGAAGGTAATAACAAAGGAAAGAAACTAAAAGTCTGAGTGAAATTTCTTCAGTAATTCTTTTGGTGACTCTCCTGGCTCAAACCTACAAACCTACAGCTATTTAGTGAATGACTTTGCAACGAGATTATGAAAAATATAGTGTTTGTCATGAGTCAACTGACTTAGTTAAGTTCAAACGGCACGTTTGTTTATATCATTTGCCTCTATTCTAGACTAGTTGCAACTTTCAGGCCAGTAAAAGTTGCTTTCATGAAGCATTTCTAAAGCATAACTTTTTTTTTTGCTCGAGAGCTTATGTTTCCTTTGACACCTCCTTCCTTGCTTATTGCTACCTGAAAAAAAAAGAAGACTGAGAAAGGATGACACTGATCAGAGAGCTCATGAACACTGCTGTTTCATCAGGCTTGAGAGCTTGAAAGTACTGATTTCTGGCAACGAATGCAACACTACAAAAATCTATTCCATGAGGCTGGGACTTCACATTACACAGAGGTTGGTAGGAACAGCTGTATTCCCATGCCTTGCTCCCATCACAGGGTGCCTCACTCTTTCAGTCATTCCAGCATAACCATTCACAGAGCCACACTGTTCACTAGTAGTAGTCTGCCTTGGAATAAAAAAGTACTAGGAAGTTTTCTGTAATGCTTTTTGGAAAACTGGATCAGATACTTTTCATTCCTACAAAAAACTCTTCCTGGAAAAAGTGAGACAGGCAGGGAAGTATGATTTGGAGCAGGAATTTCTTGAGCCAGCTTTACCACTGAGGAGAGAAGTACACAGAACCACAGCTTTACTGTCTCTTGCTAATTCCGTTCTAGTTCACATGAGTTCAAGCCAAGGACAAAAAAAATAAAAAAGACTGGATCAGGCCCCAAACTCAGGAAAAGAAATTTTTACAAGAACAGCTCTGAAAAACACTGCCAATTGCCTGCATTTCTCAAACACTGAGCATGACATTCCCAGCTTTTTGCAGATTTCACTAACACATAGTTGCATTCCAGCTCTTGTATCTAAAGTCATTCCCACAGTCACATCCTAGGTTTTATATCTAAGCACATTCCTGCACAGTTACATTTTGGCTTCTGCCTCTTCTCTAGCTTCAGATCATGAAAGATTCCAGACAACATCAATTTCTCTTTTACTTTCTTTATTTTATTCCATAAATGATTAACTTTCATTTGAGTCTCCAGAGTTAAATCTTGTTTCAGAGAGAATTATGGAGGGGAAAAAAAAAATAAAACAAAGGAAGGAAAAGTATCTCAATATTTAGACTGCAATTTTGTATTGGTTTGTTTATAATTACAGTGCAACCAATTTTATTTGTTTCTTTGGCATTAACATAAAAGCATGATTAAGTAGCTTGTTTACAGAACTGCAGCAAGATCTGATAAGAATTTTTTTTTTTAGTGTCTTTAACTAGCAAAGAGCTCTAGCTCCCCAGGACTTAATGAGCTAAAAAGTCTAAGATTCAAGATGAAGAGAGATAAAGGCAATTAGAGCAGGCAGAATGAAGACAACGCATCTGCTCAGTAATTAAAGCTGTATTCCAAGGGGAAAATTTTAAGACAGAATAAACTCAACTGAAAGAAGTAACAACAGAACATCAAAAGACTGAAAAAGGTCAAGAAAGAAGTGTAAAGCACCACAGAAAAATTGCATGGCAGAAGGGAGACATACAGCCCCTCCACCACCTGATTCGTTGCAGATCATCTTTGAATGACCACAGGCCCCTGAAGCACAGGGCTGGCTCTCCAGGCTATTTCCCACCACCGCCACATGATAGAGGGAAGGCACATCTGGGCCCTACAGCTGGATATGGATAAAACAGCTGTTAGGTTCCAGCCAAACCCCATTTCATCTCCTTGTTTCCTTGTATAGAACTGGCTCCTTTCACTGTTTCCATCATATAAAAACTAGTAGAAAAGTTATTCTCATGCAAACATATTCACGGTACTAGACCAACAGTGGATTACAAGCATAAGAACAATGGAGGGGATACCCTCAGACTATCAGAATAGAGATACATAATATCCAATAATACCAGATATCTAATAATATAT